AACCATAAGAGCTTAAAGTATATCTTCACCCAAAAGGACCTAAACATGAGACAACGAAGGTGGCTAGAACTCATAAAAGACTACGACCTAGACATCCAATACCACGAGGGAAAAGCCAACGTCGTTGCAGACGCTCTAAGCCGAAAGACGACCCATTCCCTCAACACCACGTGGGTCCTACCGGACCAACTATACAGGGACTTCCAAAAACTACACTTAGAAATAATAGAGCAGGGACAAACCCGCCCTAATGCCTACCTACTCAACACGCAAGCCATACCCGCCCTCTTCGAGGAGATCAAAGCAGGGCAACATCAGGACCCGGAACTAGATAAGATTCGCCACGACCTAACCCAAGGGAAGGAAGGCCCCTTCGAGGCACACCCGGACGGTAGCCTCCGTTACAAGGGAAGGTGGTGTGTACCCTCAACACACCCCCACTTGAAACAACGGATCTTGGAGGAAGGACACAACTCCCCGTACTCAGTCCACCCGGGAGGTGACAAGCTATACCAAGACGTAAGGAGGACGTTTTGGTGGCCAAACATGAAGAAGGAAATCGCAGATTTCGTGGCCAGGTGCCTGAATTGCCAAAGAGTAAAGGCCGAACGATGCAGGCCCAAGGGACTCGTACAACCCCTCGAAATACCCCAAGGAAAATGGGATTCCATATCCATGGACTTCGTCGGAGGGCTACCCCCGACAAGAACCGGCAAGGACAAAATCTAGGTCATAATGGATCGGCTGACCAAAACGGCACGATTCATTGCCATGAAGGAAACCTGGACAATGACGCAACTAGCCCAAGCCTACATAAACCGAGTGGTGAAATACCACGGAGTCTCCCGAAACATTGTGTCCGATAGAGATTCCAGATTCCTCTCACAATTCTGGAAATCACTACAATCAGCATTGGGAACGCACCTAAAGCTAAGCACAGCTTTTCACCCCACCACAGACGGCCAAACCGAGAGAACCATCCAAACCCTCGAGGACATGCTGAGAGCCTGCACACTAGACTTCCGAGGGACGTGGGAAGAACACCTAGACCTCATCGAGTTCTCATACAACAACAGCTACCACGCGAGCATTCGAATGGCACCCTACGAAGCACTGTATGGTCAGAGATGTAGAACCCCATTATGTTGGGAAGATATGGTCAACCCGGTAACACTGGGCCTCCAATACCTACAAGACACCATAGCTAAGGTCAAACACATCCAGGAAAGGATGAAGGCCGCCCAAGACCGCCAGAAGTCTTACGCCGACCTAAAGAGGAAGCAAGCCGAATTCAACCTCGGAGACAAGGTCTGGCTAAGGATCTTGCCCACACGAGGAGTAATGAGGTTCGGAAGAAAAGGAAAACTCAGCCCCCGATTCATCGGCCCTTACGAAATCGTGGAGAGAATCGGAGAATTGGCCTACCGCCTCGCCTTACCCGTCGAGCTAGAACGAGTCCACAACGTGTTCCACGTATCTCAGCTAAAGAAATACATACACGATCCAAGCCACGTACTCCAACACGAGACCGTAGACCTCGACGAGTCACTAGTGTACGAAGAGAAACCCGTAAGAATCCTGGACACCAAAACAAGAAATACCCGGAACCGAGTCATAGAAATGGTGAAGGTCCTCTGGACCAACCACGGGACCAAGGAAGCAACATGGGAACTTAAAGACACGATGAAGGAACAGTATCCCAAGCTGTTCACTCCAGGTAACTAAGAGAAAACTTTTCTTTTCTCACCCGGGGCCAAGCTTCGGGGACGAAGCTTCCTGTTAAGGGGGGGAGAGTGTAACACCCCGTGTTACGAATCCTAAAACCAATTGATTAATTAATTAATTAATAGCCCAGGAGAAAGAATAAATTATAATGATTAATTAGGGAAAAAGGCCACCGTAGCCCATGGGCCCAAATATATAAACCCAACCCCTAAACCCAATAGGATTAAACTCTAAATAAACCCTTGGATCTATAAATAGAGAACTTAGGGAGCACCTAGAACCCCCAGACGCCTAGACGCCCCACCACCCCAGGAGAGCTCCAAGAATTCCCTTAGAAGAAATCAAGAAAGCAAGAAAGCTTAAAGAAAGATCCTTCATAGCCAAGGAATTAATTAAGGCTAAGAGGTAACCCATATCTCAACAAAACCTATTTTCATAGCTATGATTTCCCCCTTAGGGTTTCCCCATATTATTGTGTATTAATGACTTGTGATAATTATTGTTGATGATTGATGTGATGATCCCATGGGGGATCTTGATAATCTTGATATTGAGAGATTCTTGATAATTATGATATTCTTGATGATTATATGGAGTTCCTGATGATTATGTGTTGTTCTTGATAATTGGGTGATGATCTTGATGATTATGTGTTATTCTTACCGAATCTTGCAATTAGAAGACGAACCGTATTCTTGTTGATATAAAAGTGATTAGAACCCTAGGTTGTATCGTATGATCTTATTCTTGGATTATCGGGTGGGGAAATCGCATGTTTGGGTGTTGATTATACTTAGAAAAGCATGATAGGTTATGTGCCGTTCGTTCCTCGTATTTGATTCGTTAATTGTCTACGGGTTGTCGTTAATTGTGTTGTAAAGTGTCTAAGCATGGTTTCGGGTTCCATAACGGTTCCCGGGGCGTAAAGTGTGTGAAAAGAGTCAGTGGGGGGTAGGGGACCCGCCACCTACCCATAGCCGTAAACCACCGCCTAGCAGCGGGCGGCCGGCGGGCGGGCAGCTGCCCGCCGGCGACCCGCTGCCCGGAACAGTAGAACCCGGCGGGCAGCCGGCGGGTGGCCCACCACCCACCGGCTACCCGTTGGAAAGTCGTCCCACCCGGGACCCCGGCTTCCCCGTTTGATGTTCCCCGTTCCCCGTGGTGTCCCAACGGACTCCGTTTATCGTGCCTATGTCTAGTTTGATGTTTCGGGTACCGTTCGTAGGTTTATGAGTCTATTATATTGCATGCTAGTTGAATTGGTATCCCGTTGACCTAGGTGGAAGAAGTATGAACCCCTTAGGACTATTCTTAGTAAGTGATGGATCACGCATAGGTTTTGTTATACGTTTTCTCCCCCTTCCTAATGTGTAATGTGGGTTGCATGTGCTTGCTATGTGTTATGTGTGTGTTACCCCAATTCGGTTGCGATCGGATTGGTTATCCTGAGCTGCGGTTCAGAAGCTGGCTGCGGTCAGATTGATACTCTTGGGCTGCGGTCCACCGTTTGGTTGCGATTAAACGTTTCTATACGAGCTGCGGTTCGTCCTTTTTCCTGGCTGCGGTCAGATGACATTCTCTTGGACTGCGGTCCACTGTTTGGTTGCGATCAAACACTATGATGAGCTGCGGTTCATCGGTCGGTTGCGATCGACCCCTCCGTGTTGCGATACGGGGCAGGGTGCTACGGGGCCGTGTCAGAGCTATATACGCTGACCCTCATGCATGGGCATGCGATTGGTCCTGTGGCGCCAACAAAGTGTGTTATGTGTTGTGATATGGATGAGTTGTGATTATGAGTGTCTTGGGGGATGTGACTATGGGACTTATATTGGGGATTGTTCATGTTGGGTTATGATTATTGTTTATGCTTTGCCTTATCTGCCTTATCTATTGTGAACTGCATATGCTCGTTATAACGGTTGCTTGTGTCTGGCCTTATCTGTCGAGTCATTCCCGGTTTTAAAGCTAGAGTTCGTAGGATATATCTTCATGCTCATAATGGTTTTCGTATATCTATATATATCTCTATATGTATTGTATTTCAACGCGTTGGAGTGGGTTACCAGCATCTCTCGCTGAACAGATATATTTGGCTTTCAGGCACAGAAGAATAAGTCACTGGAGCGCGCTAGAACTTGGAACGTAGAAGTAGATAGTTCCCTTTTTGGCCTGCGTGCCATGCTTATGCGTTTACATTATTGAGGATATTAGTAGTTAGCCTGTGCACCTGAGTTCTCTAGCTCAGGTGTGGCATAGCACCCCATACTCTTGTATTATGTTTTGGGATTTAATGAGATTTCACCTTTATTCTATAAGTTTTAAATGTCTTGAAAATCTGGGGTGTTACACGGCTGCCCGCTGCCTTGCGGTCTCACTTTGAGCAGCGGGTAGGTGGCGGGTACCCCTACCCCCACTGACTCTTTTATCAAATACGCGTCCCGGGATCCTTCGTGGAACCCGAAACCATGCTTAGACACTTTTAAACGCAATTAACGAAACCACATAGGCATTTAATGGATCGAATGCAAGAATCATATTGAACACATCCTAACATGACTTCTAGACACGAACAACACTCGAACATGCAAATTCCCACCCAAATATAAATCAAGAACATCACAATATCAATTCCTCAATCCAACCTAGGGCTCTAATCCCACCCAAATCATCAAAATCATATTTTATTTTCATTATCAAGAACCATCAAGATTTGTCAAGAATCATCACATTAAATATCAAGAACCTCTCTTTTTCATCAAGATCATCAAGATCCCTCATAAAATCATCACATCAATCAATCAAGATTATATCACAAATATCATAAAGAAATTCATCAAGACACAAGTACATAGAGGGAGCCAAAGAAGGAGATCATAGCAAGGAAAATAGGTTTTGTTTAGACATGGGTTACCTCTTAGCCTTAATTAATTTCCTTGGCTATGAAGGGTCTTTCTTTAAGATTTCTTCTTTCTTGATTTCTCCTATGGGAATTCTTGGGGAATTCTTGTGTGGTGAAAGTTATTGTGGTGTGAGTTCTAGGTGCCTCTTATGTCCCTATATATATATATCTAAGAGTCCCAATTAGGGTCTAAGTGGTATGGCTTTGCTAATTCGATTTCCTATAGGACTAAGGGATTGTCTTTAGGGATAAGGGCCCATGGACTATGGTGGACCCCTTTTTAATTAATGGATTTTAACTCCCTTTTTGGGCTGAGTAATTAATTAATTAATTTGGGTTTAGGGGTCGTAACACGGGGTGTTACAAAGCCTCTATGGCTAATCGCCGGGCTATTGAAAGCGTTGATACAACGCTTAGAGATATTATAGACACAGACCAAATTTTTGGACGAAAAGTGGTTGTTTTTGGAGGTGATTTTCGACAGACATTGCCAGTTATTAGATATGGGAAGAAAGAAGATTTCTTTGAAGCGAGTTTGGTTAAATCACCATCAATCTGGCCAAACATCCAACGATTAAAATTGGTCCAAAATGTTCGTGCAAATGAGGATCCAGCATTTTGTGAGTACTTGATGAAGATTGGCAATGGAACTGAACAATTCATTGGTCAAAACAAGATTAAGATTCCATCCTCATTCATTATTCCATGTTCGGATGAGGATATATCTCTTGATGCTTTATTTCAATCTGTATATCCTGACTTAACATGTTTTGGGAATGATCCTTATTCGTTAATGAACACAGCCATCTTAACAACTAAGAATGAGTTTGCAGATGAAATTAATTCTATCTTAATAGATAGATTCCCAGGAAAAAGTAAGTGCTATGTTAGCTTTATGAACCAATTGATTCGAAACAGATGCATTGTAAAGATTATTTACACACTTTATCCCCAGCTGGCCTGCCTCCTCACAAGTTACTTCTGAAGAAAAATTGTCCTATAATTTTATTGAGAAATCTGAATCCATCTGAAGGATTATGTAACGGGACGAGATTAGTTTGTGATTCATTTGAAGATCATCTCATCAGTTGTTTGATTGCAGTTGGTGAATACAAAGGAAAACATGTCTTCATTCCAAGAATCCCTTCCCTGTTGAGCCATCAAAGGATGAAAATTGTCTGATACCCTTTAAAAGAACCAAATTTCCAATTAAAGTGTGTTTTGCCGTGACAATTAACAAAGCTCAAGGACAAACATTAGATTTTGTTGGAATCTACTTGAAAGAGCCAATTTTTAGTCATGGACAGTTGAATGTGGCTATGTCTCGGGCAAAAAAAGTAGATTCGGTCAAGATGATTATATTTAGTGATGATGGTCCCAACAAACTAACTAATATTACAAATAATATTGTTTATCAAGAAATCTTGGACTACATTTCTCAAACAACTGTTACACCAGACAAAAACTAACACCATGTCCAACGTTTATTGATGTTAGTTTTTTTTTACCCTCTTATTTCAAATTTAAATAAAAAAACATTTTCATATACTAATTATTTGCAATTGACAACTATTTATCTCACATGTGCCACATGATTTCTGGATATCAATCTGTGAAAGCTGTTGAATTGAGACAATTCAATTCAAGTGATATGTGTATCTATATTTGAAAAATCATCTATGGTTCATTAAATTAGTGTGACATGTAATTCAAAATGAGAGAAGGTAATTTCTAAATTCAATTTACTCTTTTCTCTTGTTTTCAAATTTACTCTAAATTCAAATTACAAATATGTGGTGTGATATTTTGTTTAGTAAAGAATTACAATATAAATCTTCTTTAACATGGTCAATCAAAAGCGTTGGACCCAAGCACTTAAAAAAAAAAAAAACTTTGGATACATACTTCATAGTTTTTGAAACTGTATCAATTTGAGTAGGGATGAGAAAATGTGTATTGGCATATTTGGAGTACTTAAGATAACTACAATTATAAATTGTAATGACAAAAGATTACAGATTATGGTATTGTATAATGCGTTAAGATACCTAACTATAGCCCACACACAATAACATAACCCGACTTGTTTTTAAGCCAACAACACATAATTGAACATCACATGGTCTAAGCTAGCATTATTCCATTCATCTTAATTCTCTACTTCAACATCTTTGCCCACATCTGTTGTTTATGTCTAATAACCTTTCTTTAGAAGAAAAAGACATTTAAACAAATTTTATTCATTTCTTTACAATTGTCTTTACATCAATGTTCTTTCTTCATAAAATACAATGCCTAATAGTTACAACATTTGACACTTTCATTTTAAAAACTTATAAGACCAGTAAGTAACATACTTTTATGTGAGATTGGAAACACTGAAAAATACATGTTAACTAAATAAAAAAAGTAAAAAATACTTGTAAAATAACATCCAATACCCTAAAATTTACAAATGTATATATTCATCATAATAAATTTGTATTTCTTGTGAAAAAAAATCAAAAACAAAAAAAATTTACATCAATATTTATAAAAATTCATCAAATCGAAAAAAAAAAAACAAATGCAATTTATCCATTTCAAAATGATTTACTAATAAAGTTAAAACAATGGGCACAAGTTCTCGCGCAAAGCGCATACAAAAAACTAGTCATTATATACAAGGTAATAATGAAAACATATAAAAGGTAGTAACCATATCAATTAGAAATGCTACCATATATATAATAATGTCCACAATAATCATATTTATAACATTTTCAAATTTATTTTATTTTCCTTTTTAAAAAAAAATTCCTCCCCTTTCTTCCTCAGCTCTTCGGACCAAAGAGGGAAATGAAATAATTTTAAAAGGACCAAAATACCCTTGTAATTATAACATATTATTTTTCCGGTTGGAATTTCGGTAATATGTGGCCGAAAAATTAGGCCGAGGGACCAAAAGTGATACTAGTTAGAAAGTCATGCACCTAATCCGAAAAAAACAAATAATCAAGGACCAAAAGTGCTTCAACTATGATAGTCAACTGACCAAAAGTGATATATATTTACTCTATTTTTCAAGGAATTATTCACTTTTTATATTAATTTTAATGCTAACAAATGTTTAGTTGTCAAAAAAAAACACTCAAAATTGTCATCAAACTGATCAAGAAAGTGCAGTCAGGCCATTGAACCAAAAAAAGAGTGTAATTAGCTCCCTCGAAGTTAGGATTAGGTATTTATCAGTACGCCAAAAACTATAACTATTAGCGAATGCATAACCTTATTTCATTATACCGCCACAGATTTTCAAGACCCAAAGTGCTGGACTTGCCCCTTTGCAGACTTGGCCCTTATCGACCTCCGCCCAACACTCAACTATTAAAAACTCTCCAATTATACCAAGTAATCGATGGATCACCTCCTCAATGAGTAATTTTGACAAGATGACATCCATGTGGGTTTATTTACCTTTTTGTATTATAATTAATCTAATTTCCCTTTTAAATAAGATCAATATAAAAGTGATAGTTCCTATTTTGCATATCTATATTGGAAAGTGATAATGACCTAATTTTGTCTCTAATAGCATTAAATAATTTGTAGACATGTGGAAATTGTAAAATTAGTTATCCAGTACTGGAAATTATGAAATTTCAGACTACCTGAAAGTGATTTTAAATCAAATTGAAAGCAAAAAGTAGTAAGAAATAGTTATAAAGGTTTTTTCTGACATCAAAAGTGGTCTGAACAAGACTTTTGACTTGATTTAAGATCATTTTCATATGGTTGGAAATTCTATAATTTTCAGCAGTGTATCCATCGTAAAGAAATTGTGTAAAAGGTGATGGGTTGAAGTACATAAATGGGGAGGTTTACAACGTATATGTAGGTATTGACCTAGATCTCATATCATATCCCCCATTTGGTAAAGTTCATTAAAATTGATCAATATGTAAAGATAGAAACCCTCTATTATGAAACACTACCTCATGAATATTTTCAAAAACTTGAAACGGATATGTAATGATGCAAGTGTGAGATATTCCCTAATAATATATAATATATATTATATATTATATATTGGAGCCGTAATTAAGTGATGCAAGTTGACTAGACTTATTGAGTAGTTTGGCATTCATTATACTATGGACCGCGGTCAAAATGGCGCTGTTTCTTTAAGTAAAGAAACGGCGCGTCATTACAGTGAACGGAGTGTGCATTTTTTTTTGTATTAATTACCAACTGAAACTACAGTGTATCTAAACTGACACTGCTTCACGTATTATTTTTATATTATCAAGTGAAACTGCAATTGAAATGAAATGAAACTGTAGTTGTGTTGAAATGAAACTGCAGCGTATACAAAATTAAACAGAATAACAATTTCACATATTTGAGTGTATATTACCCAGCGAAACTGTAGTTATATCAAAATGATACTGTAGTTGTGTTAAAATGAAACTGCAGTATATATAAAATGAAACTGAATAACATTTCACATATTTGAGTCTATATTGTGCAATGAAGCTGTAGTTATATGGAAATGATCATGTAGTTGTGTTTTAATGAAACTATAATGTATATAAAATAAAGTTAAATAACATTTTCACATATTTGAGTGTATAAATATCGAATGAAAATGTAGTTATATCGAAATGAAAGTGTAGTTGTGTTGAACTGAAACTGCAGTGTATACAAAATGAAACTGAATAATAGAGTTACTTTTTGCGAAACGGGTACCGTTTCTTTTCATTAAACAAAACAGCGTCGTTTTCAAGCTCGGTGCAGAATCGATTACGCACCGCGGTGCACGATATAATTTGTCGTAGTTTGGTTAGACTAAATAACTAGAATTGTTGTTAGTCAATCAGATTCTGTGCCTAATATAAACTTGGATTGATGTGATACAGGTTATTCATTATATAGTACATTCAGTTACGGTGGATTGATGGGATACATGTTATTCATTATGTAGCACATTCAGTTACGGTACTCATTCTTCTCAGTAAACACCTATGCACCCTTTGTGGTTCTAAGTCTAGTATGAGGCAAAGTATGGCTAACGGTAGGGATGGCAATGGGTCGGGAAGGCCTACATCCATCACCCGACCCACCTTATATTTTCTCCACCCACCCCCACCCCACCGGGTGCGGGTGCCCACCACATCTCATATTATTATTTTTTCAAAAAATAATATTTAAATTACTTACACATAATAAAATTCATTAGTGATACTTGATGAAAAAATAGCTTAAAATGGCATAAAATAACATATTAAGTGGCTATTTTGTGGTACAATTATCAGTGGGGTCCACTTCCGATTTGGGTCGGGTCAAAGTGGATTCGGATTCTTCGTAGTGAAACGAAGAGATTGATATATTGTACGCTCAAAACGGATAATGGGTGAATGAGATATTGATTCTCAAATTAGACCCATTTGAGTTGGAAAAAGAAGGGACAAAGTAAAGCTTTTGTCCCACATTGATTTTGGAAGTGGATTCTTCATCTTCTTTCTTCTTTCGGTTTGAATTATGCTTTTAAGCAACAAATCCTATCTCCTTTCTCGTTGATTGGAATTATAATCTGGAGGATTATAAATTCCATTTCTTTTGGTTGATATATATATATATATATATATATATATATATATATATATCAACCAAAAGAAATGGAATTTATATATATATATATATATATATATATATATATATATATATATATATATAATTTTACGATATTAAATTAATTTGGTTCGTTATTCCCAACAATAATAAAACATAAAATAACTGAAATATTTAAATATTGATGGAATAATTACGGAGCGGATCCGGGGCGACGTAATATGTAGCGAATCTGACCCAGAACCCGACTTGACTACGCATACGCCCGGGCAGACCACGAAGGGGTCGGCCCAAGGTTAGCTTCCGCGAGGTCGGCTACCTCGTGCTCTTCACTTGGCCGAGCTCCGGGCTCGGCCAAGGGGCGGGGTCCTCGTGTTGAGAAGGTCTTGCGGTGGTTGCGATCCAAGTAGATCCCACCGCGTCCTCCGAGGTTGTTGGGGTAATATTGGGTATAAAAACCCCCATTTGTGTCTTAATTAGACATCTCATGTCCAAAACTTACATTTGTCTTGTTATTACATTATCATTGTCTTTGTAATAGCATTTCACATGCAATTAATACAGTATTAGTC